TTTTTTAAAGAAGAGTTTGGGACTAGAGGATGCACTGTTCATTCTCAAAGAAAAAAAAAATCCATGCAAAAATAACCCCCACCCTCTTCCCACTTTCTCTCCTACCCAAAGTGTAAGGCCATGTAGAATGACCACAGAAGTGATGGCCCTTTTCTTCCAGTATTCTTCCTCATGTCTACCTTAGAGGCTGTCATCTAAACTCAGTAACTAAAACAAGACAAAAAGAAAATTCAATTGCACAATCCTAGTCTGCAGGTGACAAAGTCATAACATCTCTTTACAGAAGTCCCTACTCTTTTTCCAGTTATGAGAATTTGTTATCGCGTTGTGTTTGTTCCCCAACTCTCATTTACATGGGTGATGTCAGTTATTGTCCACACGCCTTTGCTAACAGAAGTCAGTCTATCTACTATTGCTTCGGTCTCCCTTCTTCATCTATATGTAGTTTAGATTCTACGTAGCACTGCCTGCAAAGGGCCGACTCCGTGGTATTTTCCCCCCATTTTAGACAAAGCCCATAGCTCAAGTGATGATCTCCTCACTGCAGCTATGCATTGGTGTCGCCCATGAGACGTCTTTTACAGACTGCGAGGCATGTCTTTGCTAGATCATTCCATTTATCTTAGTCCACTCGTAGATGTCCTGTTCACATACTATGTCTGAGTTGATGAGGAGGTATCTGTCCCCGACACAGAAGTGTTTCTGGCAGGCAGCACATTTGAAGCATTCAAGGTGATACACTTTGTCCTTCACCCGCATGGTCATCTCGTAAGCCCGGATTCGCTTGTCGCAGGAGGCACAGAGGCCATCTTGGCCAAAGAGCCTAAAACAACAACAGCAGAGAAGTAAGCAGAGTTCCTTTGCTGGGGAGATGGGAAAAACCAAGTCAAAACAAGAACACAACATCAGTGCCTTATCCATTAGTCATAGTATTGGCAAGTTAGACGGAGGTCACATGGAAAGCTGCCGAGCAGAACATTGCAATGCCAAAAATTGAAGTAGAAAGTCCAAGGTCCTCACCTATTTTCAATAGAATTGACTTCTCTGACCAATGACCTTATCCTGAATTGCTGAGCAGCTTCAGGGGGAGTAAAGGTTCCCCAGATCATAGCATAAAGTTGTGCCATGCTAATACTTCCACTTCCATGATCGATACAAATTACTTTTCTGTTGATAAATTTTGCCTATCTTCAGCTGTTGCTATTGTAGTTTACAGAAAGGAGTTGACACAAGCCACGGTCTAAGACTCCTCTGTCTCTTGTCATTGCCTCCACACTGGAGATTCTTTCAAACCCAAACATTTCTATATCCATGAAATCACTCCTGATGGGTTTCAGATGGATTCATGCTAAGACCTTCTAGATACTTAGCCCAAACAATTTTATGATCTGGACCGCTCTTTGAGCCACATTGAAAAACCCTGCTGAGATCATGATGGTACTGTCTAGCAAAAGGAGCCTCTAATTAATGCACTAGATACGTATTCCCCTCACAACATCCACTACCATTCACCTGGAGCAGTGTGAGATACTCAGCTACATGTGAATGCCAGCCCTCCATGCAGCCTGGTGGCTACAGAGTTTGTAAGGCAAATCGTTAATAGATAAGCAGAAATATATACCTTTTTTTCTTATTTGTTCAAAGTATACCCCTATTGAATTTGACTTCTAAGCTTCCATACTAATTCTGGAAAGTTTTTCCACCTCCTACACTTCCCTTACATATGCTGTGCCTACTTCACATCATCCTCCAAACTAGAAAAAGAATGCCCACTAAATTAAGAGAGATCTTTCAGCAGAAGACACCATTTCTTTTGTCTACCAGGAGATGTCAGTGTTTACTTCTGTCCAATGAAAGTAATACAAAGGTTACACAAGGATTGCCCAATTTTTCATTAATGACAGAAGACAATTACATGTTGCATTATTAAATACATAAAAACATTGAATTTCACTGCAAGAAAATACATTAATTATATTGCCTTGCTTTCTGTTGCTTCCATTTTACGATTAAAAGTATTTGGAAAGTGGATCACTGGATTGTTGTATACATGGAGTATTTACAAGCGGCCCCCGTTAGCAGAACTCAGTTCTTAGTTTCTGCTTAGCAAAATTCCCATTGGTAAAGTTCAGGGACACCGTAATTAGGAACTCTACCGAGATTTGGGGGTTTGGGTTTTTTTTTTATTTTTCCTGGCAGGTAAATTGGCCTTCAGTAAGGTAGCTGAAAAAAATACCAAATGCCACTGTTCTGTTCCACAGACCTCCTGGAACATTAGGGATCCATTAGGGGAAATGGTATGCAACCAGCACAGCAAAGATCAATACACTTTAATTGTAATCAAGAATATAAAGATCCTTAATTATCAATTTTAGTGAAATGTATTAATCTCATTTTCATCCTTCTACTTACAAATTTTGGCAAAACAGAGAGGCAGAGAGATGTTAATGAAAACACCTGTACCAAGTCTATTTGTAGGATGTGATGCAGCAAAACGGGGAGATTCTTGTCTGCTTAGAACCCGGCTTAAGAATGCTAAAAATCCACTGGATCCAAAAATTAGTGCAATCAAACTTTCCTGTACTGGCTGTAGCTTTGCAATAAACCCAGAACACATTGCGTCTTTCTGCCTGAAGTGTCCCAGATAACTTCACCAGCGATGGAGAAGAAGCCAGGGATCGATCGGTGTGTAAAAGGCAGGGACTTCAGTCACCAAGCAGGTACGGCAGCCCTGCTGGCTGGTGGAATCAAGCATCTCTATACAGCTGATATCACTGCGTCAGGAAAATGAATTGAGTTCAGTTACCTTGGATACCGTGTTCTTAAATGAGAGAACTAAATGATCTTTCATCAGTTGCCAGTCTTGGCACCTGGTTTTACATACCTTTCAGGTCCAAGACAATGCTTGGAGAAGCACAGAACTTCTTAAAACCATTTGGGGGAACTGGTTCATTGCCAGCTCAGGGGGAGCTTGCTGAAATTCAGCACCTTTTCCCAATTTCTACTTGGCAGAATCCCACGCTGACAGCACGCGGTTCACCTGGAGCTATCAGGTTATGTCTGTGCAGGCAGAATGCCAATAACCCTAAAGTCCCAGGAGTTCTTACTATGTTCCTCACGTTTTCAAATCATTCTCTTTAGTCCACAACATGTAGCAATGCTTTCATTTTCATTAAGAAACGTGCTTTTTTGCCAATGAGATTTTTACAATTTAATCTATAAACAACTCCAAGTGACGTAATCAACACAGATAACCCCTGGATTTACCTGTAACTTACTGAAGAACCCCAGCAGTACCAGAAAGCATCTGTGCAGGAACCCCCAAAATATCTGAGCCCATTCCCTAAACCTGAGCTTGCAAATGGTGCTGCGTTACAACTGCGACCGCTGTCAGCCTTTCCATTCAAGAGTAATTGAAAATGAATTCTTTATGGATCTTTGCTCACTAGCTGTACTAATTAAATGACAAAGGAAAGCTGAAAGAAGGAAGGAAGGGGAGGGAGGGTAGAACGAGTGGGTTTGTACCTGAGATAGTCCCTTCTGCAGAGCTTTCTGCCCAGTTTGTAATACAACCGTCTCCCCACTTCTCCAAGCCTGCACCCGCACAGGTCGCAGCTGAGGCAGTCCTCGTGCCAGTACTGGTCGATGGCTTTCAGGAAATAGCGGTCCCCGATGTTCTGCTGGCAACCGCCGCATGTCAGCAGCGAGGGGGGGATTTGGAGGACTTCATCCACGGGCTCCCTGAGGGAACGAAAGAGTCATTGGAGAAGGCAAATGGACTCTGAAAGCATCCACGTCAGAAGAAGGAGAGAGAAAAACAAAACACAAGTTTGGTCAAGTTAGAACAGGGATTACATCCTCATTTTTCTCTCAGAGGAGTGAACAGTTTATCCACTTCTGACATCAGAGGGAGCAGGACTTTGCTCTTCTTTTGCTTTTAAATGAAAGAACAGCTTAAAATTTCAAGAGTTAGTAAGAGTGTGGAAAAATTCGCTAATTTTTTTTATTTTCCTTCAAAGAATAATGCATAAACATGACAATCTCTGTATCACCCGTGTGTATTCTTTACTGTAAAGGCATCTACTACTTTACTAGCACATCGGCGTCAGTGTAGTTACATCATTTTTCTTCTACTGGATAGAACATGCATTGCTCAGTCATGTGTCTCAATCCATGCCATTCTTATAAAAGAAACACCTTTCCCATAACAAGAGTCTGCTGGAATTAAAGATTGCACTTTTTCAAAAGCAGAAGCAAAAAGCTGCCTGGATCCACCATTTCACAGAAATGCTGGTTACCTATGTGGAGGCTGATGAATGCCAATGGCACCCAAGTCCCAGGAGTTCTTACGATATTCTTCACATTTTCAAATCACTCTGGTTTGTCCACAACACATAGCAATGCCTTCATTTCCACTAAAAAACGCTTTTCCTAATGAGCTTTTTAAGATTTAACTTATAAACAACTCTAAGTGACCTAATCAATACAGATAACCCCTGGATTTACCTGTAACTTACTGAAGAACCCCAGCAGTACCAGAAAGCATCTGTGCAGGAACCCCCAAAATATCTGAGCCCATTCCGTAAACCTGAGCTTGCAAGCTTTGACTGTCAGTGCCACTGGAAGCAAAGGGAATTTCTGTCTCACCAAGGGCTAAAGGACTGGAAAAGGCACCTGAGGGATTTTACACGCAGTCAACTTTCTATTGGGAAACATAAATTTGAAGACTAAGTCTGGAGACGCCATTTTTCTGAACAGGATGAAATGAATAAATACAACAGGGGAGACTGTGCCCAACAGATCCAAGTTTTGCTGCTGCTTTTAACAGAGCCAGAATTTCACCTGGTATTACTGCAAGGCTTCTTTTTTTCCTTCAGCTAAGGACATGAATCCCCTGGGATGGGTCTATGCCAACATAGCACAAACAACTATTTGGGATTTACACATCCCCATGTGAAGGAGGTACAAATCTTTATTATGACACTAGCACTGACTATTCATGCATGGTATTTTTTTTTCCCTTTTTAAAAAGCTCTGAAATCTAGGATGGTTCTGGTAATACCTGGGGATGAAGAAAGAATTTGCTTCAAAGCCACTTTCTTAAGCAATTCTCCTCTTTGCCTTTTTGGGTAATTTTACAAGTTCTGCCAAAAAAAAAAAAAAAACAACAAAAAAGAAAGAACAGCAGGAAAAAAAAAATTAAAAGCAAGGTGCCTGAGCTCAGTTCTGCAAGGTTTGCAGTGACCTGGTGCTGCCACTGAGGGTCTCATCCAAACCCCAGGGAAATTAATAAAAAACCCTGTTGGATCAATTCTTGAAGCACTTGCTTCATTTTAAACCTGTGGCTAGCGGCAAGGAAGGCGTATGTTTGCACATTTATGCTTCACTGGATGATGACCGAGGGGCTCAATATCTGGTAGAGTGGAGCCCCAAATTTTTTCATACGTTATTGGGTTCTGGCTCTAGCAGGGAGTCCCTCGATGCTTTGTTTCTGTCACCGGTCTCTCCTCCCTTAGGCTGCTGGGGGCAGAGGAGACCCATGCTGATGGAGGAGGATCGGGCTGCTCCCAGTTTCCAGCAGGCAACAGGAAAAAAATTACATTACTACCGCTTATTTACTGGGTCAGCAATTTTCTGGGCAAAAATTACTTTCTTCAGCAGGGAGAAACAACCACTGGTCAAGAACTTCTGTGCTGAGCAACTGATCCTGCAGTTTTTATTTAGGCAAGCTGAGCCCTAAGATATTATCTGATTATAATACTGTTCTGGTTTTCACTCTTCAAGTTTAAACTGCTGTGCCCTGCAAGTTGTGTCATAACGTCCCTTCTCCTATCAGCTCTCTGCCCTGGGAGTTTACGTTAAAATAATGGGGAACCCTGTAAGTGATTAGGCCCCATTTTTTTCCAAGTTTAATCATTTGGGCCCTGTACTCCCCTTCCTAACGTGTGGGCTCCACTCTGACGAGTTCTGAGAGCCTTCCAATAAAAGGAAATGCACTTTATTATCCTTTATTATCCATTATTTGAAACTTCAGATGTACCCCAAAATATTTCATCTTACGGGTGTTCAGGAACCCCAGGCCAGGTCTCTCTAAAAGCTCTAAGCTCCGGAACAGCCCGGCGGATGTTTACACAGAACAGAACTGCTGGTTTGTGCATTAGCTTTTTGATGTCCATAGATTTCTAAGCCAGCCCTTAGGTCACTAGAACACAAGGTAAGTAGATAAATAAAGATGACAAAAACTTTGTAGTTGAAACCTGGACATCATATACCTAGGAGCTTGGATTATGGTTTCTTAAAAAACAGTATAAAATAAGAGAAATTGGGATATATACAACATCGGATATGACACGGAATGAATTGATTGAATCCCCAAAAGAAACAGTCCCCATGCGCTCACTCTGGGCTTCAAGCAATGGCATTTTTAATATCTCACAGGAAACAAGCCACGAATGACTCAAGTTCACGAAGAGCAATGTTTTAAGTGTTATCTGAAAACGGAGATTTTATAATTTTTTTTTCTTCTTCTTCTTCTCTCTTATCATGATTCCAGACCAGCATAACTGCAGTTACTAGCATGCACAGGACTGAAACGACTGGTTTGGTGCTGGGTTACCAGTGCCCTCGCCAGCGGGCTGCCTGGGCATGCGGTGCCGGAGGGATGGGGTGGCTGCGGAGCCGGGATCGGGACACGAGAGCTGGTCCCTTCCCCGAGTGGGAAACCCAGGGAGGGAAATTCTCATCTATCTTCATCCCGGCAATCAAGGCTTTCGACGTGCCCTTTGCAGAACACCCTGCCCCCACCAAAGCAGTTTATACAAGCTCCTGAAAGTTGCATTATGAAAATGTGGAAGTTGGGCACCCGCAGATAACAGCTCTGACCTTTCACTATAATCGGCAACAGCGAGCTGGGCAGATCAAAGATGGGGCGGAGGGGGGTCCCTCCGAATGGAAAACACCTACGGATCGGGAAGGCGCGATGCTCGCCCTCTCCCCGAGCCGTTCCCAGCGCCCCTGGGTCGGATGAAGGGGTGGGAGAAGCCCTGCCCGGG